TAGCCAATCATATTTAACAATTTAGGATCTGCGATTTACACACGTGTAGCCAATAAAATTGAACTTCCGTCATGCTCGGGTTGGTGAAAAGTAACTGGACAGCAACCTTTTCTTAATCATTATGATTATCATTTTACGGTTTAATAATCATTGCAATGATTACTAAACGAATGATAATCATAGTGATTAATAATGTTTCGGGCGAAATTATTTTTCATTTCCGATTTAATAAGATGATCTGAATTCCAAATTTCGAAATGATGAGTGACACGATGTGAATTTGAACAACTTATTTCAAATACTGGTGAAGTTCCCAAAACTGATCCTGCCAAGGTTGATAACCTGTCAAATCTCAAAAATTAATCCACCAAGTCTGTTTCCTCTATATGAATTCTAGTTTATAATGTTTTCAAATCTGATGACCTCACAAAACTGATACAAAATATGTCCACCATGCATATAGTTTTGAGAGGTTTAACAGTATGTATCTTTTAATGAAACGTTCAATTCTTTTATGGGATACATTATGATCCTAATTATTTAAAATACATTAATGATTTTTACACATACAGTATTCATGAATTTAAATACTGCTAAACCTCCTAAAACCGATATGCAAGGTGGACAGACTTTGTTAAGAGGTCATCGGATTTGAAAACATTATAAATTATTAGATTCTTATAGCGGCAACAGACTTGGTGGATTAAATTTGACAAGTTATCAATTTTGACAGGATCACAGTATTAATATAATGTCATCAAATATGATAACCTCAGTACTGATACAAGATCTGTCCACCATGCATATCGGTTTTGGGAAGTTTAACATAGTTGAAACTGGGCAGCGAAGCTGCTCACATGTGCAATTATCTATTGTATAGCACTATATAAAGTATCCCCTCGAATCAGTGTTAAAGATTTAATGTTCCCGGGAACATTAAAAAAAAATTTAGGAATTCTAGATTTAAAATTTATGTTCCTTTTTAGGAACAAAGTGGGAACATAAAAGTTATAATTTATTTTCCTATAGAGATAGAGAGAGAGAGAGAATATTTATTATTTTTATTATAGGAACGTTAAAAATTTTTTAGGAACATAAATTTAATAACTTATGTTCCCGAAGAACGAAAACAAAACTTTCAAATGTACGTATTTTATGCAGTATACGGTAATTAACATAACTACAGAATTATGAACAAAAAATTCGACCATTAGAGCAACTCATACAGGAAATTCAGGGTTGGAATGCGTCGGAACTAGTGATCTGCCATTTATATGATATCCAGATTTTTTTAGCGTACAGTACGTATAGTGTGTATAGTGTGTATAGCATGTGCAATATGTATAGTACACGCATGATATATAAATTATCTATATACAAATTTCGCAAGGAGCAAACTTACTTAGAATACAAAAAGCGGTTTCATAAGGAAACTTTTGAGATATGAATGGCTTTATAATTTGTTCTAGAATATTCTAAAAAAAATTTCACTTAGTGTACTGCTGTATACGCGGCACATCACTAGTCGAAACCCTGGTTGGATGGGCCAGAATTGATCAATTTTACCCAAGATCACTAAGAATTTTACTAATGAATCCATAGTCGTTCATTAAGTAAAAATGCCCAGCTGATAATCTCCTGCTAACCAGTATAGCTAACCCAAACCTTACACCGACCCTAACCCCGATGCATTCCGGCCATTCCGACCCGAAAATTTGGTGTAAAAATATGACCAATCATAGCATAGCTTCGGACAATTTCGGACTCTTCGAATTGAGTCTAAAATATGGGCAATTACGGATTTTGTCGGACATTTTGGAAATTTGCATGCTGGGCGAAGTTAGTATCGGCCGAATTTCAGAATGTAATTGAGTATTTTAGTTAATACGTATATCGATATTCAATCCATTCATTGTTCGATATACATAAGATAATTTGCTAAAAATAGCAGATACTACGCCACAAGATCGGTGTCTACCACAATTATAATTCGTACACTAAATTTGTGAAACGTTATACAGGGAATTACGTACAATCGGTACGCCTTAAAATCATTGACGATAACACTTTTTCCGTATCACTCTTAACTGAAATTTTTTAAATTTTTTGAACCTTTTATTTCTTTGTTTTTTTTTATTTTTATTTTGACAATGAAATTATTTCCAGAAATCCTTGATCATATTTTTAATTACTTAATAAACGATAAAAAATCACTTCATTCATGTATTTTAGTAAACATGGATTGGTGTAAATCCGCAGTACCTATACTGTGGAAACAACCCTTTATGTTAACTGACGTTACGAAACCGTCAGATAAAATTATTAATGTTTATTCAAAGTTTCTTAGTGATGATGTAAGAGCCATGCTCATGATTCAAGGATTAAAGTTACCTGATTATCTCTTGCCAACTTATTATGACACTGATGTTGAAATGAATGATAGTGATTGTAATTCTAGTTCTTATAACAATATTCATTCGACTAAAAATAGATTTAACAATAGTTTATTTTATTATCCTTGTTTTTTACGAAAGTTTAAATATGAAACTTTTATATTATGCTTAGAGCAATGGTACACTGAGGTTCTCGAACCACTCCAAATAATTGATGAAACCAATTTCAACCTCAAAAATACATCAACCAACAATACTTTGCGCACCAGATTCGCACGACCCAATTATCATCATACGTCATCTTTTAATATCTCTATACCATCTGCAAGTAACGATACTGTTTCAAAAACATCGCAATACAGAGCTGAAGAGAAACAAAAAATAAAAGCTGCATGGTGTCCAACTTTGAGCATCGAATTTTTCAAGATTTTTTTGGCTGCGGGAATAAAACTCGATTTATTGGATCTTCAATTTCAACAATGTTATAGTACGAAAAACGTTGATCATCTTAGAGTCATACCAATGTTACCAAACGCTAGAGCGAGTTTATCAAATCTTGTAGAGTTCATGCCTAAAGGTGTTGATGATGAAACATACGAACAATACTATTCAAAAATTTGTAGAAAAATAAAAACATTAAAACTTCAAGATTTGAATACTGGTAACCTTGGTGCAATCTCATTGATATCATCTCAATTTTCCTTAGAACATATAGTAATTTCCAATTACTCATCGTATATGGCTGGAAATGCTATTCACAAAATACTCGCCGCTCTGGAATCGCAAGCACCATATATGAAATCAGTAGAGATAAGAAATTCGTTTATTCAGGATAATCATATACCGTCAAAAGAATTTTGTTGGCCGGAATTAGAAGAATTAAGGATTGTGAATAATGATCAAAATTTGGTAAAGATGCCACTTGGTGTGGGTCCATTTCCAAAATTGAAAAAGATTTTTATTAGTCAACAATTTATTCCTGTTGATCTTGAACAGTTACTTAAAAATACTTTGAAGCAAGATGATGGAACTTATAATTTTAATGATGCTGATAATGTTAATAACGTTAATAGTGTTAATAAAGAATCTAATGATGGAAGTGAATGTGTATATGAATCGTCATTAACACATATTAATTTAAACATTCAAATTCATTCAGTAGAATTATCCACAATTTTACGTACCATAGCCACCCATTGTAGTCAAAACTTACTTCATTTCGATTCAACCATTGATTTTCATTCAATTCCATTACTCTTCACTCTTTTACAATCATGTCAGAAATTAGAATCGCTTTCCATATGGAACCCATTTTTTAACCAATATACTGAAGATGATTATCGTATGTTGGTTAGTTACTTTCCAAAAACGTTGAAGAAGTTTGTTATTTCGACCATGTATAAAGATATTTCTTATGGGAGTTTAAAAATTTTGTTAAAGGAAATGTCGGTAAAACTTGATGTATTGGGTTTAGGAAGTTGTAAGAAACTTGATCACAGAAGCGTTGAAATTATTGGCGAATGTGCAAAAGAGAATTCAAGAAACATGCCAAGAAAGATAATATTTAATCAGAATAATTTTGAATTTTGGTGTCTCGAATTGGAAGATAAATTTTTAGAATTACAAACTATGGGTGTTAGGTTATGTGATCGTTACGATGAAGGAAGAAGCGAAAATGAACTTTATTTTATTTGTGACTAAGTTTTGATTTATTTTAGAATTATTTATTCCTTTTTTTTTTTCTTTTTTTTTTTGGAAAAATTATTTTGCATACATACCGCTTAGAGGTATGAAATGTTTGCGCTGTTTTTGGTTCGTTAGCTGCAAACCGACATATATCACTATAATAATAATAATTATATGTACGTCGTATGTTTCCTAAATGCCCTCTCATTTAGTAATTATTCAATAACTTTATTCAGTAATTTAATTTTTAAATAGCTAAAAATCTTTACTAGAATAGGTTATTACGTATCAGTTATTATAAATCCTCGAATACGTAGGATAAAAAATTTTCATAATAAAAAAGATAAATTTTATCGATATTAAAATAATGTTATATGTGCACAGTAATTAGATAAACCGATTTCAGTGCTAATTATGCAATTTCTTAATTAAAAACTCTAGTTTTTAATTATTAATACACGTGGCTCGGACCATGGATATTGCTTAATACGGAGAATTATAATGGGACCAATTATGATTTACTATAATAACATGAGATTTTGATATTACGATATTACGGAGCAAATGACTGGAACCATGGCCTCCGTTATATCGAGAGCCACGTGTATTGACTTTTCTAGATTAAACCAATAATTCTATAACTGAGCGAAAAACAATGAACTTTTTTCCATGCTGAAAAGACATTAAAAATAAATTTTTTACCGTGCCAAAGTCCTTTATTTAAAGTGCCTATTTTGGTATATGTTTGAATGGCTGGAATTGCAATTAAGTATTCTAATCCCTAATCCCCCATTATAAAAAAAGAAAATGTTCATTACGTGTATCTTGACGAACATTGTCTTATATTTACTATTATTAATTAAAAATACTATGTTAAACGGTAATTAAATTAATTAAATAAAATCGCTCAACCCTATACTACTTATTATTTTACAATATTTACATAAAATTCGAATATATACATTTCTGTGTGAAATATTTTACTATTTCTGTAGCAAATACAATAAAAAAACTTGATCGTTTATATAAAAAATTCTTTAAGCAGCCAACCATTCAAAAACATTCACATATTGGATTAGAATTAGCGTGTAAGACCTTTTGAAAAATTCAAAATGATGAAAAGTTTTTTACATTTTATAAATACACGGCAAAATTATTATCTACAATACAGTATAGAAATCATTAAACTACCTGGAGTTCCTTTAGATTCTACCACTTTGTAAGTTGATCTCGAAGCTTCAAGGCATATATATTGTTTGGTTCAATTTTTAATGATCTATGTACATCTGCAAGTGCAGCGCTATCGTTGTGCATCATGCGATAAATTGAACCACGGATCGCTAATGCCAATGCATTTTTAGGTTCAATTTCTAATAATTTTGTTATATCTCCGAGTGCTTCTTCATATTTTTCCTTAAAGCGATAAATTACTCCTCGTCTCTTTAACGTAGATACGTCATCTGGTTTGATAGACAATGCCTCATTCAAACTTTCAAGTGATTCATCATATCTACGCATATCATAATAAGTTTCACCACGCTCTCTCAATGCAATCACATTGTTTGGTTCAATTTCTAATGACTTATTTAAATCAGCAAGTGATTCTTCATATCTACCCATCATACGAAACGTCGTCCCTCGTTTTCTCAATACAATTGCATTATCCTTTCTAATTTCTAATGCACCGTTTAAATACATAAGAGACTCTTCACTTCTACCCTTCATGCAATGAGTTATTCCATAATTACATTGTGCATCTGAATCATCCGTGCAATTTTTGGATGCTTGAAGACTAGTTGGAGCTGTATAAAAACCGTCATGTGATGTAGAAGTAGAGATTAATGAAGGTATCTGGTGTGAATTTTCGGGGAGAATACATGTTTCTAAAAGCCTAGAACGATCAATTTCTTTAATTCCTTGAATGAGTAGATTCAAATCTTCAAGGATTAATCTTGTTTCTGGACGTTTGGCAGGATCTTCATCCCAACATCGAGTGTAAAGTTCAATATATCGAGTTGGTGTTCCAACTATGGGTATTTCTCTATCCTTTTCTAATATTCTGGAGAGAATTAATAAGTTAGAAGGTTGTTCGTTAAACGGTACACGTCCACTTGAGATTTCCCATAGGATAACACCAAAACTATAGACGTCAGATTTTTTATCACGTTTATATGAATTATCTTTCAGAAATTGCGGATCAACATATGCAGGCATTCCGAAGACAGAAGATAAAATTATTGATTCTTCATTTACATGTTTAGATAAACCAAAGTCTGCTATCATCATTTTTCCTTCATGAACCAAGATGTTTTGTGAATGCTGATAAAAATAATCAACTATTAATGGAATTAATTATGTAATTAAATAACTGATGTCTTTGCAAAATCATGGTATGGAACTATGTCCCATAACGTGATTCTAAGGCAAAGGTCTCAACTAATATTATACTTACAAGATCACGATGAATAATATCACTAGCATGTAAAAAAATAAGCCCTTGCGCTATTTCTTTGGCAAACCGCAATTTGTCAGTCCAATGAAAGTTTGGATTTTTTCTTAAATATTCGCGTAAATTTCCATCCTCGGCCAACTGTAACACCATATTATAAGGCTCTTTTGTCACTCCATAAAATTGGATAATATTTGGATGTGAACAAACTTGACGTAAAAATTGAAGCTTTTAATTATAAATTTCAATTTATAAGTATCATGATATTTAATTAGCGCAAAAAAATATATATAACGTTAATCGAATTATGTACGATACCTCTTTAACAAACTCGTAAATATTTTCTTCATCCCAATTTGTTAACGTTTTAAGGGCGACTGTCATCGCACGACATCTCCATTCAAATCTATATACTTTGCCGAATGCACCCTCCCCAATTTCTTTAAAGTCGGAAAATTCTTTAAAATCAAAACAATTTAGGAGCTTTTCAGTAATAACCTTGTCGAGCCATTCTTTTGATTCTTTCGATTTATTTGCCATAATTTTAAGAAAACTGTATTAAACGCATTTTCTTTTAAATTTGGTACCTAAAATTTAAAGCAAACATAAATATGTAAATACCATATATATAAGGCACAACATTTTTGGAGTAATATTTGCGCTACGCACAAGATGACATGAGGTGTGTGATCTATTTTCCGAATTAAGATTGTTTTCACCAGATGACAGAAGTGTGATCTATTTTATAATGGTGTTATTGTTTTTAGAACTCTGAGAAATAAAAATTGTCATTCTTATTATTAATCGGCCAAAAACAGATTTGGTCACACCTCTATTCATAATAACCTTTTAAGATCCTTATTTATTCAAATTTTATTTGTTACTCGTGAATGTTTAATTTAATTGGGTGATACTTCTCTCAAAAACAATTGTCATTAACACTTTATCAACTTGGGGCTATAATGTAATTGACTCGTAAGTATCATATGATGAGACACAAAACCAGATAGATATATTAGAATAATACAAATATATATTGCATACGCGTAGTCTTTTCTATAAAGATTAAGTTTCATATACAAAATCAAGAAAAGGAAATATTTTAATGATATGTTTTAGAAGTCTAATTTTTATCGAGTAGAAGAATGCCTTCGAACCTGCTTATGCCCTTATTCTCTTTAACTCTTCTTCTATTGAAATAATTATACACTTGCTTATGCATCCACTTATCCTCATCCTCTTTTAATCACTGTGTAATTATTTACATAAAAAAATGGATAAAAAAAACTTCTATATACAGTATATTTTATAAAGGATGATACCATAAGATTAGACTTTTAAATTCTACTATCATCATGTGATCCTACCTATCGCTAAATATAGCGATCTTTTAAGATAATAATTCAGGTGGGACTCGCGGCATTATTTGAATGTTTTCTCCGTTCAATTTGTCGCTCTTTTTCGAATTTGTACCATTATTGGATTTTGTGAAACTTTATTGATTACACATTACTGTATATGTAACATTTATCAATCTTGTGGATCTACATTTAGGCGAATTTTTTATTAGTATAAATTCTTTTTCTTGCATACAACGATAAAATTGAGGCGATTCTCAAAGTAGGATCAAAATTTGAGCTTATATGTTGCGTTTTCGATCTGATTGGTTATTAAAGTTACACGAATTTTCTGTAAATGAATACGCCAAGAAAAACCAGAAGGTCTAAAATCCTCTACATAACGAAATGTGAAAGTTTGCTTTTTTTTTTTTTTTTACCTCTTTTAGAATCATTTCTAAGCCAACTTCTCAGAATAAAAGATTAATTTTGAGTTCACTTTCCAGCGTTCTTTTGAAACTAGAAATACATTTGTAATGATTTTTTATGTAATATTTGCGTTCTCATTCCTAACTTCGAAATTTAAAACGGAAATAGAATTTTTAGACTCCCACTTATTTTCGAAATATGTTAATTTTGAATCATCCTATTCAAAAATTTTCATGAATTCAATCAGTATAATACTTTCTAAATCAATTAATATCCGCTGTTGCTGATCCATGGCATCGAAAAATAAATTGAAGTACATGATACAAATGTTTGTCATTATTATTTGGCGCCGCATGTTTAACTATGGCAACAGTGTCATTAATTTTTCGAGATATATAAAAGTTAATAGTTCTCACATGTAACATAAGTTGCATCGAGGCATGCTTCAAACGCGTCTGCATGAAGCTTTGTTTATTCTCGAAAATTGCATGTAGTTACGCTTATGTAGACTAAGTGTAATAGTATAGGCTATCGAAGTCTTATTAATTGTCATTACTGTCATAGTTGGTTCGATTACACTTATTGAATAAAAGGTTGGTATCGGCTTTTGCAATTTTTTATCTAAGATACGATGTTCGAGTACACTGTATTCAATATTCAACTTTTCTCATTGAGGCCTATGTAGGGTCAAAACCTAATATATATAGTAATATATATGATACGTAATAAGATGATTGACGCGCCTTAAAATTTAGGCAAATTTTGTTTTTTTTTGGCTTATTTAGAAAGAAGATGCTAGCTTAATTTCTGGGTCTGAGTTTGCGAATTCTCTAGCATTAGAAGATTCTTCTCATAAAGTTTTAAGGGTGGTTTATAATAAAATTGAGAATAATCATGGCCACATAGTAGCTAATTTTTTGATAATTTTTACTATTGGTTAATTGTCCTGAGCGAAGTGGAGGACTCAAATATCATGTTGGTTTGGTATTTTCCGTCTGTAAATCCCCGAGAAGTTTGATCTGCAGGATTCTTCAGGGGCTAAGGCCATTAATCAATATAAAATTTTGGGCTCCGGACTTGTAGGTTCCTAGTATCATTATTTTACTAAAATAACGATAAAAGGGTTGTTTAAAGCAAGGCTAATGATTTTTGAAAATTTGACGATTTCCTTCTTTTCTGTCCACATTCTATTAATATTCTGCTAAGCCCTTATTAACATGATTATCATAAACTAATAAACTAGTTATAACATTTTCTCGAAGCCACTTATTCTTCCTAAGTCACGAGTTTGCTGTGCCAACTTTTGTAATCCTCGAAATCACAAGACTACGATATCCAATCAGAATCAAGATTTTGCGCACGAACAAAATAAATTCAACTTCGTTTCACTATGTTTCTGGTATCACTATTTTTCCTGAAGTTTCAACTTTGGGTCGTACATATCATGTTAAATGGTGGTATTGGCAAACTGTAATTTTCTGCATTGTAATGTCTTCGCTGACTATAAGAGCTATCAAAAATCTATTTAACTTTGATGAATTTTATTCTAAGACATTATTTAAATGGAAAATGTGAAAATTGTAACAAATATAACACTTCTCCAGCCTGGTGTCAAACATGTGACCCACAAAAAACAGCACAAGGATGGACAAGTGGAAATGATGATATTGATGATTGTATTAAAGGAATTCAACTTAAGGACACAGAATAAGAAGATATAATAGAATGGATTCCTTTTTATAGATTAAATAACATTCAAACGGTTGATTAAAGTGATGTTGGTTCAATAGCAACTTGGTTAGATGGTATACGAATAATTTAATATGATTCTAGAACATGCACACAGTCACGTACATCATCATATAGAGTAAAACTTAAAATGTTATC